CAGAGGGGTGAAAGTCAATTCTCTTCATCGATTTCCTCTTTTGATGACCATGGCTTCACTAACCTATTTCATCCAGAACAACAAACGTATCAATGAATATGCTTGCCATCAAGTCATTAACGAAACAGAAAGTCGGTGAAAAGCATCGATCAAAATCACTTGCACCCCTGCTTCCAAGTTTGGTTATAAGATTACAACTCTGGGGGCGTGTGGTTCTGAATTTGGCGATGAGTGTGCGAAGATCGGAGACGAATGCCACTTCGACTTGTTTCGTCTACTAACGACTCTCTGATGACAGTGTTTGGGAAGCAGCAATGCCACATCGACATGTTTCGTCTAGAAACGATCCTCTGATGATTGTGTTTTGGGGAAGCAGCATATGCAATTATTTACGTGATGGACTTGTTAGTTATTTCGACGCTTTCAAACAATGCTTGATATTTTTCCACTTTTTAAATACTTTTTTGTTGAAAATCAACACTGGGAAGCAATGTTATCAATGCATAAAAATAATTCTGATCGATCGGTGATAAAATTATTGAAATTGGTCCAGGGGCAGCTGAGATACATACAGACGTAGTCCTACTTCAAAACAACATCGTTGACTTCGTACCGCTCCATCACCGGTTTCGAATAATGGCACGATGCCAGATCCTGTCAAAACAGAGTGTCACCTACGTAAGACCGAAGGAAGAACAGCAGGCGCTTCTGAAGGCATTCTTCTTTATATATTTGGTCGTTGATGGTGCCGGTCATTATGTACGGCTTGCTCAATTTGCCGCACCCACAGATCACCTGCCACACTTAGTACTTCTTGGCAAATGCGTCGACCTTCTTCTTCTGGAACTTCTCCGGAACATCCAGGTTTGGCTTGCCAACGAAAAACTACAAGTCGAGGATCTGCTTGGCGTCCACATTAATGTACGTCTCGTCGTCCATTACGATGTATTTCGGCTGCATCAACCACTCGCGGCACAGCTTACTGGCGCAGGATTTGGCGACCGTATTTTGTTTATCGGTTTGGTTAGGCGCCTTCCTTACCTTAAGGTTCAATTTACTTTGATGGTTTTTGGAAAATTTCAAAAGCAGTTTTTTCCGACGCCTTATTTCAGATTGCAAAAAGCTCGCACTATTCGATCCCTTTTGATATTTTACACAAAATGACGCGAGCTTTTTGCAATCTAAAATAATGCGTCGAATAAAACTGCATTTGAATTTTTAAAAAATGCATCAAAGTAAATTGAACCTTAAAGACATGAAGTCCGGCCCTCTTCATTGTCTGCTGGATGAACCAGACGGAAGAATTGACCTTCTTGGCCACGTCCCGAATCGAAAGGTTCGGATTGCGCTTGAAGTAACTCCTCACCTTCCTTGAGTTCACGGGGTCGGTCGTTTTTGCTTTTCTTCCGCTGCCAGCTCGTCGCGAGGTCATTTGGGTCTCCTTGAACAATTTTTCCACAAGGGACACGGGTGCATTCGGGTGTAAAGCCAAAATCATTAAGCTCAATCTCACCACAGTTTGGTGAGATTTGCAGTTGGTGAGTTTTGTTAGCTTGTTGATTTTTGTCTACGAAAATCAAGCGTGATCTTGGGCGATGGTGAGATTTGATTTTTTGGAATTTTTTCCCAACACTGGCTGTACGTACGCCTCCTTACTTCTCGACCAAAAATCCAGCAGAGTGATGCACAATTACTGCCAATCTGGCTTTAAATGGTGTTGCTCTTTCACAGAATCATCTAGGGACGAGAATAAAGTAAGTTCACTAATTTCAAAGAAACGATGGAGAAGCGCGCAGGACAAACATCCTGAGGTTGATTATCGAAAGTTGGTTCGCGACGGACTCAAAGATTCGCTAGATCTTCTTACACATCGTTTTGAAGCGTTGGCGGGCAAAGGAGGGAACGTGTCGGTCAGAGATCCAGCTACGGATCATGAAATCAATTCTTTGAGAACACAAATCACACGTGTTTGGCCGGATATCGGTTTGAGCAGTAAAGTAACCAAAAGTCAGGTCAGGTCTGTTCGCGAGTGCTTTGTTAGTCATGTTCGTTGCATAACGTACGCCTTTCAAATAAAAAAAACTACAAGGGACAGCCCTATGGGGTTGTACGCAATGGTGACGTAGGACTACGTGGTCTTATATAATAAATCTTATTTGTTAACTACAGCAGGAGCTTGTGTTTTGTGTAGGAATAGGAATTTGAGTGGGGTTCTCTCTGTTTATATTCTTTTGTATGACGCGCTTGACATAGATGGCCCACAGCGACTCACGAAGAGCTACTCATGCCGAACAATAGCGGTGCGGCTTTTTCCTTCTTCTATGGCTGCTCATGTGGGCTCTGCAGCTTGCTGCTTGCAGGCAGCCTTTCGTTGTGTACTGGAAAAGATTGTCAACGCAACGTGCCGAAAGCACTGCTGCTGCTGATGCCGACAACCGGACAACACCACACACGGTGATTGGAACTGATTTCGATCAGCGGTTGTGGGCAGCCTTGATAGCTAGCTGCTTGCGGGGAGCCGTTCGTTGTGTACTGGAGAACACCACCACTCACCACGCAGTGATTGAATAAACACCGTATGGTGAGACCGGATGGAATTCAACTTTGAAAACTGTGTTAGAGAAATCGGTTTTCGCAGGCAATCGGTGGTAATTTTAATTATCATAGCAACAGTTGCAAATTCGTGCAATTTTATATAGTGACATTTTGAAATATGATAAAGTCTTAAATTTAACAGATTTGTAGAAATATTTCTGATCAATTGGTGTTAAAACTATTGAAATTGGTCCAGGGATAGCTGAGTTATTAACGTTCAAAATCTTTCATAATTTTGTTACATGTTCCATTTTCGGTTTTCACAAAGTGTACCCCCATATACAAATCACAGACGTAGTCAAAAGTGTACCGATGATTCTTGCTCATTTCATAAGTCGGTACGAGTCTCCAATGAAGTATTCAAGATTGTTAAATGGCTTCCTACTCCAGAACAAGATGAACAAACATATAAGGATTTTGTAGAAGTTTATGGAACAGAACCGAATGATTCTCATGTTCCAAGCAAACCGATCAGTAAGACGATACATCAAAAGCACAATTCTCATTGGAAAACACCAGAGCACCAGTCTGCACCGAATGTGAGTTTCCGAGATTTCTATACACTGAATAAGCACTAGAAAAAGGTACTTCAGCCAAAATTGATGAATACCTTGACGAAGTGCTTTACGTTTATGGTTCACATCTGGCTCCATTCCCTGGTATTTACCTGATTATTGTGCCAAATTCTTTGACCCTCAAGTGGTTTCTGCAGAGCGGAAACTGATGTTCTGCAAAAATTACCTCACTAATACCAACAATATTTCTAAAGCACCTACTTAAGCTGTGGAGAAGCGCCCAAGGGTGGCCGAAGAAAAACTAAAGTTAAATTTGATGAATACTAATAAACCAAACATGAATTGGTTTTATATTTAAAAAATATTTAAAAAAATTTGCCATTTTTGACATAAATTTTATTAAATATTTGTAACGGCCTGGCTCGTGATAAATCGGATGAGATTTCAGCTTTTTCAAAAACGGGGTCCACATTATGGAACATACAAGTGCTCATTCGAAAATCCTTTCGTTTCGACTTCCCTCATGGGGCCCCAGTTTTTCATACTCATGTCTATCTTCAGGAATTCTCTAGCGCAGTTGCAACGAAATTGTTAAACTCGGTGATATAACACACACAAAAAAACACCTCAGAGACGTGATGGATTAATGCGATTTGTGAACACCAATCTGAACATCTATACCCACCACTTGACAGTCAGTTGTTTTCCTCCAGTTTATCACCCACAAGAGACAAACATCATCCTGATTGCTAAATTGCTCTCCTGGTAGCATTTATACCTACAACCGTTCAAAATAACCCACAAGCACATACATATAAGAAAGCCACGCTTTTACCCTTTCTCGCTTCCGCACAATCACGATGCATCAACGTAAAACAGGAAAAAAGTGTTCTGTCACGGGCATGAATGAAGGAAACAAGAAATTCCCATCTCTCAACTCGCAACATCCCCGCTCCATCATCAACGAAGTTGTAAGCACTGGAATAGCAGCAACTACAACAACAACAACAACAACAACAACAACAACAACAACAGGTATCACACGAGGAGCAGAGGAAGATGCAATAAAAATCACACTTTAAATTCCTCCCATGTGATGACTCGACTGCACACAACTCCCACATCTTCCGAGAGTTCTTGAACTCGAGCTGCACAAGAAAAGTACGGTGCAGTTTTCCTTATCCGCCCAACCCAACGATTTTCCCGAACAGCACACTCTGACAGCGAGAACAAAGTATCATCCTCCGAGAACTGTCCCCCCGTTGTTGGGTTGATGCATAGTCGGGACGTGACAGCCGGAGTCCCCGATTTTTTCCGCGTTCCACGGACGGCTCTAATTTTAACTCCCGTCTGGAACCAGGTTCACTCGAAAGTGTAATAAATTGTCAAGCTCAAGAGATCCTCCACGACGTTGACGACGACGACGACGACGCGCCGCCCAGGCCGCCGTTTCGCAGAAGTTCCACATCAATCGATGAATTTATTATGGAATGGTGCGTTGGCGAACGGAACGACCGCGCCCTTGCGCTGCAACAGCCAGCGGCCAGACGCGACTAAATCGCGGCGTTGTTCTAAATTTAGAGCAGGGCCCAACCGGAACTCAGACGGACCCGAACGGAAGGCACGCACGCGTTCGGGTCGTTGTTTACATTGGCACTCACGAAGGCGGGAGAGAACAAAGCCGAGCGAGAGAGTGAGTGCCACCGCTCGGATTCGGGCTGTTTTCGGTTGGTTTGCTTTGTGCTGTCGTTCGCCGCCATCGGGCGCCAGTCCTTGCCGTTTCCGTTTTGTTCGGTTCGGTCGGTGAGTGCCGTTCGTGTTGGGAAGAACATATAAGGGAGTGCCTTTGTTGTTCGGGGCTTAGTCACAATACAACACTCGCTCGCGTCGTGGTCAGCACACTTTTATCACTTGACGATCGGCTCGTGCATCGTTGCTACTGCTGCTGCTTTTGTAAGTCTTGAGCTGAACGAAAGGCGCGCGCCCTCAGATTTGGGTGAAATTTGGATAGAAGGCGGTTTATCATTTGGTGGAAATTGCTTTGCGAAGGACGACGACAAAGCCGAGAAGAAATCTCTAGAGTGCGAGTGGTTTTTTTTAAGTGGACTAGAATTTTTATGTTTTCATTATTGCGGAGACAATTTTCGTAAGAGAGACACCAGAGGAGTTAGAGCCGTGGACAGTGCAGAGGAAAATGTGTCGATGAAGTGTTTGTTTACAAAACAATGTCTTGATGAAGCGGGTTTTGGCTGCTGTGGCCCATATGTGAGCGAAGCGGTTGGAGAAGAAGCGAATTATTGTGTTAAGTGCCTTTCTCTAATTTATGATTAACATTTGAAATAGTTGGAAGATAACTGACGTTGAAGAGTGCTGTTGCGGCTTGAAAGAAGAGAGTAGATGTTAGCGAAGAGAAGCTGAAAAGACCTGGATGTAAATCATGAAGTCGCAAGTGGTCGTGATTGTAACGGTGGTGCTGGCAGTGATGGTGCCGGTGATTAGGTCCATCTCGTACTGCCCCAACAGTTGTACGTGTGACGACGAGAAGCTGCACGTGACGTGTGGCGAAGGGACATTGGATGTTCTGCCAATTGCATTGAATCCTTCGATTCGCCGGTTGGTCATCAAGTTCCACAAGATTCGGTCGGTTGATACGTCGATTCAGTTCTACACCGAACTGACCATGCTTGATCTGAGCTACAATCATCTGTTGAACATTCCGGAGACGATCTTTATGTATCAAACAAAGCTACTGCAGCTGCATTTGAACAACAACAAGATTGGAGCGCTGAGCAATAAAACGTTCGAAGGAATGACGGAGCTGAGGGTGTTGAATCTACGAGGGAACTTCATCGATCAGATTACCAGTGAAATGTTCAAAGTGCTACCAAAGCTGGAGGAGTTGAATCTCGGGGGTAATCGGATCGGCCAGTTGGATCCGGAGGCTTTCGAAGGTTTAGGTGAACTACGGGTGTTATACTTGGATGATAACGCAATCAAAACCATTCCAACGCTTTCTTTAACTCCGTTGAAGACTTTGGCGGAGCTTTACATGGGAACTAACTCCCTATACAAGATCCAACCAGGAGCGTTCGAAGGACTGCAGTCACTGAGAAGATTGGATATCCACGGTTCAATGTTGGTAAACATTACGATCGATACGTTCCGAGGATTGGAGAACATTCGCTCTCTGGATCTGTCGGATAACCACCTGCTTAAGGTTCCAACAGTCCAGATGAGCGCTCTCAAGCGCCTGGAAGATTTAGTCATCGGTCAAAACGACTTTGACGTAGTTCCCGAAGGAGCCTTTTTCGGCCTAAGTAATCTCAAGAGCATTGACATCTCCGGTGCATTGAATCTTAAGTGCATCCAGTCGGGAGCATTTTCAGCCAATCCCAATCTGGAATCGATCACCATCGCTTCCAATAAGGAACTCCTAGAACTGGACGAGGGAGCCTTCTCCGGATTGCCACATATCAAAAAGGTTATCCTTCGGGATAACAAAATTTCCACCTTCCGAGAAGAACTGCTGCCCTGGAAACACCTAACCGAATTTGACGTCTCAGAAAACCCACTTAGCTGTGATTGTCAAATGTTGTGGCTTCGAAATCTGCTGCACCGGAAGAACATCGAAACCGATGAAGCTCAAATTGTGTGTGTCTTCCCCGATCGACTACATGGTGAGCCTCTACGGGAAATCTCTGCCGAAATGCTCGGTTGCAAGCATCTCCAATCCAAGGAACGTGCAATTTTTGGCGCCATCATTGTTGCCTCTGCTGCCACTGTCACAACCTTCGTTCTGATCGTCTACCGACTGCGGCATCGAATCCTGGAAACGTTTCGGCGCCACTGGCGAGCCAGTAAGCGGGACACCCTCCAAGAGGAAAAGGACATGGAGATCCAAAAGACGCTCGGTGAAGGCGACTGTCATCAGCCTCATTGCAACATCTACACCTACAACTACCACCCGGTGTTCAGGAACCATCAGCACCCCTCGTCCCTGTACGCCGGGGGTCAATACTCTCTCCCGTTTCCCCGCTACCAGTCCCACGGAGGAACTCCACAGCCGCAGTCCCAGCAGTTTCATCAACAGCAGATGCAACCACTGCCTCAAACGCCGGCGTCCAGCTCGTCGACGACCTCTACCCTGGTCATGCCGAGCCAACCGGGCCAGAGCGCGACCATCTACTCACCGCAGTACGCCCATCACATATACGAAGTTCCGAAGAACGTTTCGGACACTTAGGCAAACGCAGGTAGACTTTATTCCCTACAATTGTTTCGTTTGATAAGACGCACCCACACACTCACAGACTCAGATCCCTTGATTGTTACTAGTGGTGTAGATTAAGCGCATTAAGAAGATGTATAAATTTATTGACTAATATATGGAGTGCCCGAGGACGAATGCAAGTGAGGACGAACTTTGTGGAGCAAAACGAGTCATATCGAGAATTTTTCCGGCAGTATTCATCACCTTAGTCTTAAAGTCACAAACTCACACCCACACACACACACATACAAGACACAAGTTGTATAAATTAATTCTAGTCAATTTGAAGAGATCTAAAAGAGAATATCAAAGACTGTCCTTCTCGAAAGCGGGAGGCACAAACACGCATACCAACATGCTCGCTGTGTTTTTCGATGGTCTGATAGTTAAGTGAAGGAAATTAGCATGCAAATAGTGGTAGAAAAGAAGACCGAACAAAGCGCCGACAGGCAGGAGATTTTAAGACAATTGTTTTTACAAGTAGAAACGAAAACATCAAGATGCAAAGGCACACCAGTACGGGACAAAGCAAAGTGAAAGAGAGTTCGTTTTAGAGTTTCTTTTCCTTTCTTGTTGTGTAAATAGTATTTTTTAAGTGTACATAACTTACATCAACACAATACACAAATACACAAAAATCACACACCAACACTCAACAACAACAACAACAACAACAACAAAGCTAGTTATGTATTTTTATTAAACTTTTTTATAAGAAACCTACAAAACAAAAACACTGATACAAAATGAAAATAAATCGGTGGTTAGAAATAATAAAGATTCAACGAAATAAAACAAAAACACATTGAGATGCTGACACAAATGTTACGAAAAGAAAAAGAAACCGACTTGTAATGAATGTCATTTTTAATTATCGCATCCCCTTTCCGGTGTTCCTTGGGTTTTCGGTTCCCTGCTGACTGCTGCCTCTGCCGCCTGAATGGGAAACTGGTTGCAGCCCCGGGAGGCAAATTGGTTCATCTTTTTTTATATATATATTCTGCCTCTCGCTCGCTCTCTCTCTCTATCCCTTCGCTCCGGGACGAATTATCCTCCGTTCTGCATTGCATTCAGTGGCGATTGTCGTCGTTACTGATGTCGCGTCGTCCTCGTCGTTATTGTCGTTGATGGTTGACAGCATAGCGTCGTTTTGAGCTGGGTTTGGTGACACTATAGGATGGTGGGTGAATTCGGTGGGATTTTTCGATTAATATTAGGTCCAACCGGATAAGGTCAGTTGGGTCATTTCAAGGTTCCGGTTGGAATATTGCTTAGCACGATTGGAACAGGTAAGTATATTCGGTATTATTGGCTCGGATATTACATTAAGAAAAATTCTATCACACTTTGTGAATTATTTTGCAATGGAAAATGTCGGTAAAATAATCTTTCGATTTATGTTCATGATAGGGGATTTGCAATTACATCCACACAAGCATCGATTGGAAAGCTGTGCTCGATATCTCACAATCCCGGACCAGATGGAATACCGCCCGGTTTCCTGAAGGAACAATTAACGTTTTTACTGAATCCTGATGAATGTGGGCGTCTTAGTGGAATACCTGTATAATGAGAGAGAGAAGGATTAGTATTTTCCATTTAATTCCACTACTTTATTTGCTTATCCTTGACAGATACGCGTATTTCGTCTACAATGTGCAGACTTCTTCGGTGTCTTGTACTAATACTCGACTGAAGCCTCTGTGTCCCCATCAAACTATCGCCTATTGAAGAAACGACTTCTTGAAGATTGAATTCAACTGCATGCTTCATAATAATAGCACTATTTTTAATATTAACTTCTGTTCAAACTTTGTTCACACAGATCTGAAGAATTTATTCAACCACAACATTGAACTGCTTGGTGTTGTATAAGATATTTTGAGAAGCTTTTATCGAGGGTCACGCAATACAAAGAACAGGTGCGTTGGAGTTAAAATGCAATCAAAGTACTTAAAGTAATTAATGCGTTTTTAAGTTATTGAAAATGTAATTAATGTGCTTTAATTACGAAATTTCAACTGTAATTAATGGAGTTAAAAAGTAGTTAATGTTCTAAATTGTATAATTAATGTAATTAAAGCAGTAGTTAATGGAATTAATTTAGTTACAGCCATTGCCTGCGTTGGAATTAAAGGTTATTGCGTGCCCCTAGGCTTTTATTCGACTAACATGAGTTGCTTCTTTAAACAGTGATGCTGTAGGGGCTTTACCTCTCCTTCTTAAACGGGTTTTAACAATAAATTAAAGCAAAGATGACTTCTAAACTTATTCCCCTTTCCATAAATACCGTTGAATTTGGTAAAGATCCATACATTGTTGAGATATTGTTTAAAATCTAACACTGCAAGTTGATTCAAATTCGTCCTACGAGTTTCAATCACTAGCGTGTACAGGAATCTTGTTAAAGAAGGGCAATTTTTTTCAATGGTGCATTTTATCTGGGGATGGCGAGTACTCCAAAGTGCGTGGGAGATGGTGCTGTCCATCCACCACTGTTTCCCTACTGTTTAATTTAGCTAATTTTATTTATTTTTTGCGTCGGTGGTGGTTCATCTTCTTCAATGCAAACTTCGTAAATTGGCTATTTAATCGCATCGACGATGATGAACCGTCCCAAAGTACCGTCAGTCGGCGTGACAGAAAATGATGCCGAACATTCAACATGTATTAAAGACGATATAAAAGACACACCTGAATTTATTGCAACGCACATAAACAGCTGTAACTTTTTAAACACGGTAACAACTTGAAATTTTCAGAGAAGATTCTTAGACGAATTTTTAGTAAGACAACAATAGACCAAGGTTCAATGGCAAACTAATACACCCTTTGCAATTAGGGAATCCAAAAGTTATCTTTAAACTTTATACAGTTGCGAAAAAGTCCATCCTCAGAATTTCTTGATGTTCTTTTTGAGCTCTTTTGAAATTCTTCTCAGAAGTCCTCTGGAATTAATTTTCGAACTCTTCTTGACTTTTACTCAGAACACCCTGGAACTGAAATTCCCTTAGAGTTTCAGAAGAATTTCCTCAAAAAAATGTTCCTGGAATGAGCTATGAATTATCGGTACTCCCTTTAAATTTTCCTTAAAATCCCTTTGGAATTTCACTCAAAATTTAATTTTCTCGGTATTCTTTTCGGAATTATCTAGGAACTATCTGCAGACACGCAGAATTTTCTTGGAATACTCCCCAGAAATTCTTTGGAACTGTCCTCAGAATTCAATATTCTTGAGGCTCTTCTCGGATTTTTTTAGAACTCTCCCAAGAGCTCTTTTGAAATTCTTCTCAGATAACACTTAAATTATATTTAGAACTCTTCGTGATTTTTTCTCATAACACCTTGGAACTGAATGAGCTAGAAATTATCTTCGGAATTCGCTTGAAATTTTGCTTATAATTCCTTAGAAATTACACTCAAAATTGGATTTTCTCGGTATTCTTTTTGAAATCGTCTTGGAACTATCTGCAAAATGTACTAAAAATTATCTGCAGAACACCTTGGAACTGAAATTCCCCTAAAGTTTCAGAAGAATTTCCTCTGCATTCTCCAGAAAGTCTTCCCAGAATGTGCTTGCAATTATTCTCGGAACTACCTTGAAATTTTTCTCAACATCCCTTTGGAATTTCATTCAAAATTTGATTCTCTCGGTATTCTTTTCGAAATTATCTTGGAGCTATCTGCAGAATTCACTAGATATTATGCGCAGAGTTTTCATGGAATAATCCCCAGAAATCTTTTCTTTTAGAACTGTCCTCAAAATACAATACCCTTAAGGTTCTACTCGGAAATCAAGTTTAAGTTGTCCGCCCAATCACCAAATCGTTGTAGTTTTTCTACCATAAATGTTCAACAAAGCTTGCCCCTCCATTCACCCGAACTGTGCAATTTTAACATCAGGCCTCTCCATGCAGCAGATTGTTGCATATCTTACACCAGAAATTTTCAATACAAACTTGCCATCAGAAAATTTTAAATTAACTAAATTTTTATTAAAATTGATTCTCCAAACTTCTGATTGGTGCAGATTTCCATTTTCCATTTTCCACCAGACATTTTCAATATAGCTTGCTTCTCCTATCATCAGAATTTTGCAGGTTTTCCACCAAATAAAGCTTGCCCCTATTTTTTGATTTCATCATAAATTTTCAGCTTCCCTCCAATGATCAGAATGGTGCAAATTTTCCACCGGAAATTATTATTAAAATTTGTTTCTCTATTCAGCACAAGGGGTAAGCCAACTGTACTTTTGCAGCGAGTAAATTTGGGTAACTCACGATTACTCAAAGTTGATCAAAGTAGTCGCACATTCATCAACAAATAAGAATTAAAAGCTGTTTTAATAAACATCAACTGTCAGAGCGATCTTTTTCGTAATATTTTCATATATTGATACTAATATTAACCAGGCAAATTTAATTCATTCACAATACATTAGCCAGATATGATAAATCTTGAAAAAAATATATGTTCAGGTTGTGTGACGTTAAGATTATCCAATCCAAATGAATCAATTCACAAATCCGTCTAAACTGCTGCGAAACCGTGTGAGGGTCGCTATGGGATATTTTAACTTGGATTGAGCATGAGCATAAGCATGAGCATGATTGACCGCCCACGGTTGCTACTCTGTTATTGCCAGACCAGCTGCAATTCAGCAGAGAACCAATAGACGATGCTTGGGACTAGCAATCATCCACAATGTGTAAAAACTGGTGATCTCGAATTAGGCAATACCAGCGCCAGCCGTGCCTGAACGCAGGTCAAGAAAGGAATGGGTAGGAATGTGTTGACGTGACACTCGCTTTGATGGAAGCCGAGGAGTTCTCTGCACTTCCTCGAGGAATCACTGGGATGTTGGATAAGACGGTAGGGTTTGCATCAGGATTCGTTTTGGTAAACGATAAGCTGAATTGACGTCCTAACAATCATATAACGCGAAGGAGCTTGGGATTGAACCCACGGTCTTCTGCTCAGTAAGCAAAAATGTTTGCCACTAGACAGACGAGCTCCTTTTTAATCATCGACTTACTGTTTTTACCATGTAGTCATGTTAGCAAATAAAACGATTGACGAATCTTGAATATGGATGGGCTTGAGATTAGACTCATGATGTTCTGCTCAGTAAGCAAAACCGGTTGCTCTAAGGCCACCGAGCCCCTTTTTTCCGTGTTGGGTATATTCATCACTGCGACCATTACTTTGATCTATTGTGATATTCCCCGTTTTTATATTGCTT